AGCATCAGCCCCTGGTGCTGCGCAATTTGCTGCTCTACATGGGGCCCGCATGCAGCCAGCTGCAGCAGCAAACGCCTCTCACGCGCAGCAGCAAGGGGGGCCCCCCGCTGCAACCAACGGGGCCAGAAGGGCCTCGGGGGAGAGCTGCTGAGTATGCGGCTGAGGGCGTCGAGGAGGCCCCCCCTGAGCAGGTATTCAGCAGCAGAGTTTCCACTGCTGCTGCTGCTGCTGCTGCTGCTGCTGCTGCTTCCTCCTCCTCCTCCTGCTGCTGCTGCTGCTGCTGCTGCTGGTGTTGTGCGGGTAATAGGGGCCCCAGGGGGGCCCCCTGACAAAAGCACGTAGGCTGCTGGCTGCGCTATCCTGCGGGTTCTCTCTGCTGCAAGGAAAGCAGATAAAGTGTTTGCTGCTACCGTTTGCTGCTGCAGTGTACCCTTTAAGAAGTGCAGCAGCTGCTGCAGCTGCTGCTGCTGCAGCTGCTGCTGTGCTGCAGCAAAATATACAACACCCCACAATAAACGCAACAGGCGCCTGCTGCTATCGGTGCTGTTGTTGTCAGCTGCTGCAACAGTTATAGTAGATAATAATATAATAATAATATTAATATTATTATTTTTTTTATTATTATAATATAATAATAATAAAAATAAAAATAATAATAAATATTAGTAAGTGAGCTTCAGTCGATAGAAAACAAAAAACAAAACGCATGCAAACCACGAGGTGTACAGACACCTCAGGGTGGTGCCCTTTTTAGCCTTAAAGAGCAACAAAACACAACAGAAATAAATAAAATAAATTAAATAAATTAAATAAATTAATAAAATACATAAATACAATAAAAAAATAAAATAAATACAATAAACAAAACAAACAAAACAAATAGAATAAATAAAATAAAGAAAATAAATAAAATAAATAAAATAATATTAAAACGAATATACTGTCTCACCAGCGTCCTCTACAGTCTGCAAGCCTGGGCCTTCCGCTTGATGCACAGCATACTGCTGCTGCTGCTGCTGCTGCTGCTGCTCGTGCTGCTGCTGCTGCTGTTGTTGTTGTTGTTGTTGTTGTTGCTGCTGCTGCAGGGGCGCGTCTTCACTGCTGCTGCGAGCGGCTGGCTGGTGTACTGGGGCTGCTGCTGCAGCTGGCTCGACGGGTGGGGGGCCCCCAGGGGCCCCCCGCTCTTCTTTTGTTTTTTCTTTGTCTGTTGCTTCTGCTCTCTCCTCTTCAGGCTTCTCTTCTTTTGGGGGCCCCAAGGGGCCCCCTTCTCCCTCAGCTGCAGACGCAGACGATATACTGCTGGCTGCATCTAGCGGTGCTTCCTCTCCTTCATCTGCCGCTGCTGCTGCTGCTGCTGCTGGTGCTGCTGGTGCTGCTGCTGCTGCTGCCGGGGGCAGAGGAGCAGCAGCTGTGTCAGCACTGGCAGCGACGCCTAGCGCGGCGGCTTCAGAGTCCTCTGCTTTGTTATGGTCCCCCTCCTGCTCCTTTTGCTGCTGCTGTTGCTGCTGCTGCTGCTGTTGCTGCTGCTGCGGTGAGTGGTGTTCCGTTTGCTGCGGCGCCTGCAACACCTCTGGCAGCTGCGTCTGCTGCTGTGTCTGCTGCTGCATCTTCTCCTCAAGAGGAGGCCTCAGCTGCTGCTGGCTGGCACTGCTCTCCCCTTTACAGTCCCCTTCCCCTGCCTCAGCAGCAGCTGCTGCAGCTGCTGCAGTTGCTGCAGCTGCTGCAGTTGCTGCAGCTGCTGCAGTTGCTGCAGCTGCTGCTGCTGCAGGGGGAGGGGGGGCCCCGGTGTGCGTAATTGGCTGCTGCGGGTTTTCTGTTTCTACCTTCTCAGGTGTATGGACAGATCCCCCCTCCATAGATGAGGGGGAGGCATCCTGTGCTGCAGCAGCAGCTGCAGCAGCAGCAGCAGCAGCAGCTGCAGGGGCCCCAACGAACCCTAGGGGCCCCTCGGGGGGTACAGCGGGAGGAGCAGGGGAGGGGGGGCCCTCGCTGCCTGCCAGGCGGCTGAGTCCTCTCCACCCCATCCTCTGTACACATCCCCGCAAAGCTTGCCGCAGCCGCGCTGTGATTCCCGCATATTTAGTCTCTGCTTCGGTGTCTGCTGCTGCTGCTGCTGCTGCTGCCTCTCCTGCTGCTGCTGCTGCTGCCTCGCTCTCCCTCTGTTCTTGCTGCACAGATAAGGCAGAGCGGCTCGCACTGCAGCCACCCTCTGAGGAGTTGTGGTGGTCTGTGAGGGGATCAAGAGGAGAAGCTGAAGCTTTCAAGGGGGGGCAAGGCGGCTGCTGTCGGCTGTTGCTGCTGCTGCTGCTGCTGCTGCTGCTGCTGCTGCTGCTGTCACCCGTGTGCAAGGATTTGCCTGTGAGGGGGGAGCCTGGCTCAGGCAGCTGTGCAGAACCGAAGACCCCCTTTACTGCGGCGAGTACAGCGCGCCGCAGAGTCCGTGCAGGGCCCCTTCTGAAGCTCCTGCTGCCCCCAATGGGAAGCGAAGCCAAGCCCCAGGGGCCCACAGCTGCCCGGCGGCTGATGGCTGCTGCAGCAGTTGTCTGGGGTGTTCTGTCTGTGTATGGAGAAGTGCTGCACGGCTGGTTCGCGGCACTGCCTGCTTTGTTTCCTAAGAGAGGGAACAGGGGAGAGAGAACCGAGTCAGATGCTGTAGACACTGCGGAGGAGGGGCCCCGGCCTGGGGAGCGAAATGAACGGCTTGAAGTGACACAAAGACCCAAAAGGGAAATAGACAACCAAAGAAATACGTACCAGCAAAAATTAAATGATTTTCCCCCGAATTTAAAGACGGATCGCGATGAAACCCGCAGTGATCTCGAGGGCACCCGAGCACGGGAAGCGGAAGAAAAGAAGAGGAACATGAACAGTAAACCCACCAAACATCACTGCATAAGGAATAATAAGTTAAATTAAATCAATTAATAATATTTATTTCGGTTTCACAAGGCAAATTATACCGAGAAAACCCTCATCCTCCTACTCTGGATTCGGCTGTCTGGCCAACGACGACAGGATTCAAACTTGAACTGCGTGTGTGTGGCTTCACCTGACGCCTGTGTGTTTATAAAAAATAATTATTCTCAATATAATTTTGTTTTTAAACATAAAAAACTAAACAAACGAACCTTTTTGAACT